TTTTTTCAGTTGTATATATCCTTTTCTACTTTCGGATATCAAGGAAGAACCAAGTCTTATGTAAGATATTAGTATTAATTTTTAAAAAGTCTACCATTAATCGAGTATTTAAGTCCTTAAAAAATTAAAAGGAATACTCAGCGATATAATGCCCACGTGTGAAGTGGGCGAAACACGTGTCCGCTCATATAAAATTTATTTGTGGTAATTAGGGGTGAGTATTCCTTTTAATTTTTTAATTAATATTTACCACAGTCTCCTCCTTCTATTATTTTTTATTTAAGTCCTGTTTGAATACTTTATCAAAAATATTTGTTTCATACGTTAATAGTTTCGTATTTACATTATACTTTAGCGATCCACTATTTGGGGAAAATATATCGGAGGAAGATAACGAAAAAGAAACACTGAAAAATAACACACGGTATAAAAAAGATGAAGCAGAAAAAGTTACTGTATGCCCAGTTACCGTTGATAAACAATCCACTTTAATAAAAAAGGAACAAACATCTTCCGCGAAAATGTATTCCGGAAAAATTATGTCCAATCAAAAACCACCTACATTGCTTGATTCGAAAGTAATACCTGCTAATGGAAAATATTTAGCTGTACTAAAGCAACTGCCACAATCAGGGGAAGCATCACAAGAGAAAAAATCTTTTCAAAATTTACAAACTACAACTACTTCAAGTGGTGACAACATAGTATTAAAACGTCTCGTTTTTGATACTGAAAAACGATGTTTCCGGGCAGTCGATTCCAATGAGCTCGTTAATGCAATGTCCAAAAAGATTCGGGTACTCAGTGTTAACCACGAGGGAATAGATGGAATGTCGTCTCTAAACGTCCTGCAAAAAGTGCCTCCGCTATTGTTAGATGGAACAGAATGCCCAGAAAAAGAATCTTCGTTTATGGAAGGTATTGTACCAGTCTCCACGGATGACATGTGCATTTTGTGTGCAAGAAAAATGTCGCCAACGCACAATATTAGTCATCTAGTGAACCTCATTAGGGATATTGCTGGAGTAAATGTACGTTTCCATTAATTATTTTATTGCTTCGTTTAGAAACTAAATTATTTATTTTGTTTTGCCAGCTTTCAAATCTGAATTTACCCCTCCGCGCATGCGAAGAATGTGTAGCTGACGTAAATGTAACGTTAAGATTGAGAAACACTATAAAAAGAGCCTATGAAGATCTTGTTAAAAAAGACGATACTTTCACAATGAATGTATTGCCACCAAAAACAGCAGGACAACATGGAAAGAGTCCCGTCAATGAAACTGATACTATTGCTTCAAAAGAGGCCAGTACCACAGTTACGGAAAAGTCTTCTGTGACCCACCAAGAGAATATGAATACTGACGATTCAGAAATCATGCAAAAATTAAATGAACATAATCCAGATGGATTTAAGCAAATAAAGTTGCTCAAAGGTGATGATTGTGGTCGAAAAATAAGTTCTGGTGATAATTATTCAAAATATCATATGAATAGCGAAACGGAGAAAATATGTGAACAATTGTGTATAACAAATTCAAGCCAAAAGGAACATTTAAGGGAATGTAAAAAAGCAGGTAATATAATTTATATCGAATGTTCCAAAATTTTTACAAAGTTATTACTTAACAAATATCTACATTTTACCCATCAACTATATATCTTTTTCATTTATCTCTTTATAACAAAAGCTACGCAGTTCATTCATATAAATTTAGTATCATTACATAAATAATCTTTTTCTTAATGTCCTAAACGAAGATTTTTCATAGTAATCCCACAAAATTAAATAATTCTTGGGGTATACAATAATGCAAACATGGTGAAAAATGAAAGCCTGTTTTCAAATTATTTAAGTGCTATGTGGTACAAGTAGTATTTTGGCGTTTTTTAATAAACCATAACAGTAAAATCATCAAAAATTGCTGAATATTTATGCGAATGATTAGTGCTATTTCCATGTCAGCTAACAATCCATTCTGACATCGTAAAATGAAAGAAATGAATATTCCTTTATGATGCGCCCTTCCTTTGTTTCAGATGTAATCTGTAAAGTATGCAATCGATCATTTCGTACCCTACAGAACCTAAGATGGCATATGCGCTGTCATGTTTATAAATGTGAAGTTTGTTGTAAAACGTTTCTATACGGCATTGCAAAAAAGAATCACCTAAAAGAAGAGCATACTGAACAAGAAGTTCAGAAATCTCTGGAAAATATGAAAACAGATAAAGAAAAATCGAAATTTGTGCCCTACTGCTCTCGTCAGACGGTAATATTAAAAACAATGAAAGAAGAGAAGGAACAAATTGAAGTGAAAGAAGAAACGGAGAATATAATAAATGGAATTAAACAAGAAGAAGTTATATTATAAAAATATACACAATATATTAAAGTTCATTTATAATAATTTTTCCAACTTGTTTCAATGTAAGCTTACTTATGTAGATGACCAACCGTTCACGTTGAGAGGTTACAAAAGAAGAAGGAGAAATTTAATGAAATGGAGTGATGAAGAAAAACAAGTAACGGAAAAATTTTTCCGTAGACATATCAACCTGAGAATTTCTCCAAAAAAGCGAGAAGTACTACAGTTAATAAAATTGCATCCAAAACTATTCAAAGATCGAAAGTGGGATGTTATAAAAGTTTATGTATGCAACAAATACAATTCTAAAAGGTAACTAAAATTGTATTTTTAACAAAAAAATATTTGAATTTTAGATGTTTCTTTTCATTTGAAATTAAAAATTTTGAAATTTTTTTATTTTATTTTTTTACTGGCTTCGTCTTGTTAAGTATATTTTTCATTTAAGCAAAAGTATGGCTTTGTCTCCAGTTCAGACAGATTCTATTGATTTGTAAGTAATAATTTTATAAATTTACATTCCATACACTGCTAAAAAGTACAATTGAAATATAATTTTACTTTTTAGGGAAAGTGATGGTATGTCATGCGATTCAGCTCGAAGGAAAGAGATTGAGTAACTATTTTAATGTATTTACATAATAC